AAAAAAAAAAAAAAAAATGCTCTAACCAGGTTTGCCCACCTGTGGGTGTAGTGGCCCCAGCCTCCCACTCTGTATCCACACCCAACATTGAGGGTGAATGGCCAATGTCCTTTATCATCATATGAATGCTGGTGTTCTCTTATAAGCTAAGAAGATAGTGAAACACATCTTGTATCTCTGTCAAAAGTGGGGCAGTTGGAGTAAGAAAGATATTGTTTTAAAGAATAATGTGAGGAAATTTTATTCCTTGTGGAGGAGGACTCTATTCCTTTGTGTTTTAAGTGAAAAATTTACCCTTATTGAGAGAACACAACTTAAGACACTCCTCCAAACAAATCAAACATGCCTCACTTGTTTGCTATGCCTGTCTTGAAGGCCAAGGTTCTCAGACTCTTTGGTCTTAGGATTCCTTTACACTCTGAAAAATTATTGAGGCCTCTAAAAAGCTCTTATTTAAGTGGATGATATCTATACTTGACTAACATATTAAAAATTAAAACTGAGAATTTTTATTTTTATTTATTTATGAGACAGAGTCTCACTCTGTAGCCCTGGGTAGAGTGTCGTGGCATCATAGCTCACAACAACCTCAAACTCTTGGGCTCAAGCGATCCTCTTGCCTCAGCCTCCTGAGTAGCTGGGACTACTGGCACCTGCCATGACACCTGGCTAGTTTTTCTATTTTTAGTAGAGATGGAATCTTGTTCTTGTTCAGTCTGGTCTTGAACTCCTGAGCTCAGGTGATCCACCCGCCTCAGCCTCCCAGAGTTCTGAGATTTCAGGTGTGAGCCACTGGGTTAGGCCAGGAATGGAGAATTTTTAAAACACAAGCACACAATCCATTAGCATAATGGTGATGACAAGTTACCACTTGTCATGGAACCTTGGGAAAACTCCACCATACACTCATGAGAGAAGGTGAGTGAAAATAGCAGATAACATCTTAGAAGTTTCCACCTTGTGGATCCCTGGAAGGAGTCCCTGGTTCTTACTGTGGGAACCCTTCTAGGCATTTGGGTTTGTTACCCTTGTTTTAATAAAGAATTCCAAGGAGAGGAAACTTTGTTTAACTTTCATCTCTTGCGATTGCAACATGATTTCCAGCAACTGGGGAAGTGGAGAAAAAAGGAAAGAACAGAAAACAAATTCGCTTTACCAAGAATCCTGGCAACCTGCAGTATACACCAAGCCCGCACATCCCACCCAGCACCGGCCGTGGCGTGGCAGAGGCCAGAACAAGCCCCTAGCATCGTCCAGGAGAAAGGACAGCAGACACTCCAGTTTGGAAAACAGAAGATAGAACCAGTCATTTTATTCCAAGATCCGCACTGGGGAATGGCAGGAATAAATAAAGGAGGGCAGACTGGGGGGCCGGTAGGAAGGCTCTATGTCCTGCAGCATATCCCACAGGATGATGCCCGACAGCACTTGCAGCAGAACAGGCAGATGGGGATGTGGGTGTCTCGCCGGCTCCGCTTCTGAAGCATGGGCTGCTGGGAGGAAGGGAGAATGAGGGGTGCAGGCCAGGGCAGGGGAAGGGGGATTCTGGGAAGGGCATCCCTGGCGCTCTCACCGTCCAGCTGGCCCTGGGTCCAGCTGTGTCCTGGGGCTTGATGTCTGCAATCTGTCCTGTCTGTGAAAGCAAAGGGGTATTGAGGATGGCGGGGGCCAGGCAGAGCTCTCAGACATACCCTACCCACCCACTCCTGTCCAGGAGGTTGGCAACCCAGCGCTCAACTGACTTGGAGGAAGGGTCTCTCGCCTTCCCACAGGCGGTTCTCCTTCCTAAAAGCCTCCCAGACCAGTCTCCTCCCCTCTAATCTTCTTGGGGACATCACCTGCCCTAGCCTGATGCCAGTGCCAGCCTCAGAGCCAGAGTCCCTGCTGTTGCCTCTCACAGTCCACCCGTGAAATGGCAGAGTGGCTGTCCCCATTTTAAAAGCTGACAGGGGCTTCCTCCTCACTCAGAGGATAAAACAGTGTCTACACAACTGCCCACGAGACTCTGCATGATGCCCTGTACTTCCCCCACCCTCCATCTCATCTCCAAGCACCATCTTCTGCACTGATTCTGCTCTGACCCTGGAGTACACCCAACTTGCCCTCACCTCCGCTCTTTGCTTGCTACCTTCATCCCTTATCCTCCAAGGCACAGGTCAAGTATCATTTTTCCACAAGACATTTGTTTGGCCAGGAGCCTCCAGACCCCATCTGTGGGCCCCCATGGTCACTCTACTCCCATCCTTTACATTATTTGTGAATGTCACTTTACTAAACATGACTGTTTATATTTTAATCATTCATTAACCAATTCCTTGCCCAGGATATAAGCTCCATGACAGCAAAACTCTTCTCTCTCATCTCCCTGGTTCATTGCCTCGTCCCTGCCTTTAGAATAAGACTGGACATAGAGACGCTCAGTAAACAACTGTGTAGTTAGTCAAGGGCCCCACTCCCCTCATCCCTGCCACTAGGCCTTCCTCCATCCCTGTTCCTTCAGCGGCTTCCAGGCCCCTGAGCTGTCTTGAGGTCTGCTCTGTGGGGGTGGGGGGTCTCCAGCAACCCTCAGCAGCTTCTCCCAGGAGTCTGCTTCCCCCACACCTGTGGCCCTGTGAAGGCCCCAGGCCCTGTGGGTTCTCACCTGTTGTGGGAAAATGAAGCCACTGGTCAGGCTGGCGAGGAGGAGGAGAAGGAGGCAGGCAGCCCGGATCTGAATGTTCAGTGCCATTGTGCCGTCTGGCTGTCCTTCTGCTGGGTCTAGAACTTGCTCTGGTGTTTGGGACCCAGGTACCGTCGCTTTTATGGAGCCTGCTGGGGAAGGCGGTGGTCTGAGCCCCCTCCCCTTTGCCCTCATTTCCAAGAAGGTCATGGCGCCGAAAAGGCGGGAGAGATAAGCGGGAACAGAGTGACAGGGAACAGGGTTGTGTCACCCTCAGCCAGCAGAGGTGTGTCTAGGGGGTGGGGTGGATGGGATCACAAACATGTGTTGCTGGCCAGCCACCTGGGGAACCCCATCATGACATCACCCTGTTGATCTAGAAAAAAGTCCCCCCTTTGCCTCAGAAGTTGGAGAGGTCATCAAGCAGAATTGAGGTACCCCTCTCCTTACCCACCCCCTCCCAGGACACCCTCATTTACATGGAGCATGACAAGTACCCCAGCTTCAGGCTCTCTTCACACATGCATAGGTTCGGGGGGGGGGGGGGAGGGGAGCACTGAATACCCAGGTGCGGGTAAGGGAGATGTCAGAGTGTTCCTCAATGCCAGAATCAGGAGATACAGCCCTCATAACTGCGAGATGTTCCTGTAAGCTTTTGACCATAGAAGACAGTGGTAACTGACCACTGGCATCTCAGATGCTGGCAGAGATATTGGCACACTTTGTGCGAACTCTCTAACCAGCTCCTGGCTGTCCCATCCTGGGCTCTGCTCTGGATTTAGGGGCTATTGCTGCTTTCTCAGCCCCCTGATCCCTAGGGTCCTGGCTTCCCACACCCTCCTCTCAGGACACTTCCTGTTCTTGGAGAATTACTTCCTTCACTTTGCAGGAAAGCTGAAGGCAGAGATTAGGACACTGCTCAAGATTGCCCAGCCCAGAGCTGAGCTGGGATTCCAGACTGACTCTAGGCCTGTGCCCTTAACCACCAGGCTCTGCCCCCATCCCCAAGCCTGAAACAGTAGGGCACAGTGGTTGTGCCAGAACTGGCTCAACATGGAAAACTGTGCAACACCCCAACTCCATATTCAGTGGCACCATGTCAGTGCCTTGAAATCAGCAGTGGTGGGAGAATTTACACCACAGAAATTGGCAAACCCTACAAACCAGGGCTTTCTTTTGGAAGCTGGTTTCCAGGAGACTGCTGGATGGATGGGGGAATAAACCCAGGCTGCCTAATTAGTGTGGCACCTTCACGCCTGTCTACTACTAGAACCACCTCAGGGTGCACACAGCCCAGGAGACCCATAAACTTTGGTTCCAGAGATGGGCCCTTCAACATTTGGCTATTTTGTTTCTTGACTCACTCTAGGATAGCGGTTCTCAACCTGTGGGTCACGACCCCCTTTAGAGGTCGCCTAATATCAGATATTTACATAAAAATTCATAACAGTAGTAAAATTAGTTATGAAGTAGCAACAAAAATAACTTTACAGTTGGGGGTTACCATATGAACTGTATTAAAGGGTTGTGGCATTAGGATGGTTGAGAACCACTGCTCTAGGACGATCTAGTGTCAACCCTGTCACTGGAGCCCAGGATTGATGTTACCAAGTCCCACTCAAAGCCATAAATATGGACAGGCTCTTGGAGAGCTCCCTACCATCTGCCTCCCTATTCACAAGGGAGACCCAAGATGGGAATGGCCAGTAAAAGGAGACAGGACTCTCAAGGAAGAGACCAGTTGGGAACACTTGAGATGGAGACAGGGCAGAGAGCCCAAAAAGGTGACCGGATGGACAGGCCTCGCTCCTGGGAGTGGATGGGACCTAATGGGGCTGCAGGATGAGGAAGTCTCTGGCAAATGGCCACATGCTCATCCACAGGGAGAGGCAGCAGCATCCCCCAGCCCTACCAGGAGAGGCCGCATCTCAGCTCAGGCCAGGTTTCATCATCAGCCAGGGGCAGGGGTCACAGCACAGGCGCCAGAGCCACGGCACAAGGCGACAGGCTGACTGGCCAAGCTTGGCTTTCTGGCCATCTGCCCTCCCTGGGGGTGGGGGGCTCAAGGCCAGGCCCCACCATTGGCTGTGCAGAGGGGAGGGCTTCAGCCCAGAAGGGCAGGGTCAGGAGCCAGTCCTGTTTTCAGGAACTGCTGACACAGGAGACCCCAGCCTCTCCTCCAACATGGGACATGTCTTCGACCCCAGGTTCCCCCACCTCCCCACACACCCCTAAGGCCTCAAAGAGGACATTCATTTCTTAATTCCTCTATCCATCCAACCAATGAGTGGGCACCCAGGGGTGCAGGATGGCTGGGACTGGCCATGTCCACAAGCACAGCAACTGAAGCCCTGCCATCACAGAACACGGCATGGACCCCAGACCTCCCCACTCCCAAGATGGACAGACACGCAGTCAGACAAGGCGGGGGCCACATGGGGCCAGTTTATTGCAGTTAAATACCTCTCTATTTTTTTTGTCCATTTTTCCATAAAGAAAATTAAAACACACATACACACGCACACACACACGCCCGCGCGCGCACACACACACACCCAAAGGGGAGCAGGGATCCAGAAACAAGAGGTGGGGTGGGATGTGGCCTCCCTGCTGCAGGGATGGCCCCCCACAGGCTCCCCTCTTTCCCATAAGCACCCTGTCTCAGCACCTCTAGAGACTGAGGAGGCAGCGGATATGGCAGGGCCTGTCCTCCTCCCTCTCGCCTCCAGGTGAGAGCACTAGAAGTGCTGGGGCTTAGTGAGGACAGGAGAAGGGAGACAGACAGACGGATGGGGAAGGAGGACATCATTTCCAAGTCAAGGGTGGTGGGCACTGTATCCACAGAAATGCATTATTTCTCCCCATTTTTGTTAAAAATCTACTATAAAAAAACGCAGCTGGGGGAGGGGCGAGTGTCCCTCTCTGTGCTAAGGGCTGGGGTAGGGGGCAGCAGAGGCCGGCACTGGTGGCGGCTGCATGGTGGGCAGGTGGGTGTCACTGCCGGGCACTCTCGCCCACCAGCTCCAGGTTGTGCTGCTGCAGCTGGGCTCGAAGCAGGGCATTCTCGTTCTTCAGCTCCTCGATCTGGCAGACACAACAGGGGACAAGGGAACCCGGGGCTGGCTGCTGGCATCTGGCGCTCTGGGCTCCCCTCCCAGCTGTAGGCCCTGGCACCCACCTGTTGCCTCAGGAGCTCATTGTCCATCTGCAGCCTCTCGGCCTCCTTGAAGGTCTCCTGCATGCGCTGGTTGGTCTGGCGAAGCTCCCGGATGTAATCACAGGCCTTCGACAGGATCCCTCCTTTACTCTGCGGGAAGGGGATGAGCACATCAGAGTGAGCACTGCCTGGTGGCCCACCCAGAATGATTCCTGGGCCCCAGGGCAGTCAGACTTTCTGGAAGGGGTTGGGGGCCTGGCCCACCACAGCAATTGAGGGTCAGGTGGCTGCCTGGCCAGAGTGGGCAGTGGACACTCACCGCTCCTGTCTTGCTATTGTCTGCGTTACAATCTGGAATGATTTTTGAGAGTTGAACGATCCAGTTGTTGATCTTGTCCCTCCGCCTCCGCTCCACTGCAGGAACAACAGCCAGAAACACCATTACACTGATGGCACTTTTTGGGAGTACCCCAGCAGTGTTCCTCAGAGGGGAGATGATGAGACCTGAGGATACTGAGGCACAGCACAGCCCCAGCCAAGATCACAGCACTGGCAAGTGTGGGCCGAGAAGTGGACCCAGACAGCCAGCCTCCACACCAGCTGACCCTCAAGCGCCACGTACCTTTAGGGCTAGAATCAAATGTCAGGGGCTTCCCATTGCTTATGTTGCCGAGCCCAACATGTTTTTCAAAATTTGAGCCAACATTTAAAAATCAAGGTATTTTTCAACAAAATCTGGCATCTTTTGAAAAACAGAGCTTTGCCCACAGTGAACATGTATTCTTGGAGGGTAGGAATGGGCCAGAGCCCCTCGCCAGCTCTTGCAGGCCCAGACTGGTTCTCTAGTCTGCCCAGAGGCATCAGGCTGTGATTTGGTTTTTCTCCTTACCTCTACAATCAATCTGACCATGTCTCACCCCAACTTAAAATCTTTTCCCCAGGCCCCGAGCAGCTACACTTGTGGCTGTGGCCTCACCCAGGAACACGAACACTGCTCTGCTGGCCAGGGGCAGCAAACCAACGGGAGATATTACATGACAAAGCCAAATATGGGCTTTTGTTCCATGCAACTCCACAATCTTGTTCAAACTTTGCTAGCTGAGTGGCAGCTGCCCCGGCACACAGGGCATATGCCTTTTAGTGGCCACGTCCCATCCTTCTGACACCTGCCTGGGGTCTCCATACACCTGGTGGTGAGGGGACATTAGGCAAAGTGCTCAGTGAGCATGAGGAGGGCAGGCCAGAGCATGTCCCCTTCTCATCACCCCCAGAGGACACACCTTGTCCAACTCTGCCCTTCCTTTAGAATCCTCGTGGCCCACTGCCAGGTAAATCCCAGGTTCATCTCTTGGTTTTGCCCCCTTATTGCTGGCTGTCCCTTCTCTATCTCCAAGTGCCTCCCACTTTGGCCAGAATTAAAACACCCTCCAGTGACATGCCCCCCCCACCCCCCGCCCCCCACTCTTTCTTTCCTCTGAAACCCTGATAGCAGCCCTGGGCTTAGTGAGTACTTAATACTGTGTCACTATCATGGTGAGCCAAGCCTTCCTCACAAAGCCACCCCAGTCTTCAGGACTCAACAGTGGCACTCAGCAGCAGACAGTGTCTAGGTGTCTGTGGAGTGAGGGGCCTCCCCATGGCCCGGCCTCAGAGCCTGGACTGCAGCTTCCCCAATCTTAAAACCCACCACTGCACTGCTGCCTGCAGGGCCTTCCTGGAGGCTGAGTCAAGGGGGGAACTAGCCCCAGCTCTGCCCTTCTGGCACTCAGTGCCATTGTGAAGTGCACGTGAGTGGTGACACCCAAGCACGAGTGTTACAACCGAGGACTATACAAAATGCCTGCGGACTATACAAAAAGTCATGGTTTCTACACCAGAGTGGGGGGTGGGACCAATCCCTGGAGAAAAAGTCATGGTTTCTACACCAGAGTGGGGGGTGGGACCAATCCCTGGAGAAAGACTTAGTAAACACAAGCCTGGTTCCTGAGAGGACGGACGTCAGGCAAACAGGTGGCAAGATCCCAGAAATGGGGGCATGAAAATACACTGCAGGGTGGGGGGCATTGGTGAGCTCCCACCTATGGGCACAACGTAAGGGTACACAGCACACCTATTAGGTGCAAGACACAAGTACCACAGGGACTTTACCTACCAAACACAAACAATGTAACCTAATTACTTGTAACTTTGTATTAATCTGAAATTAAATTTAAAAAAAGAAACTACACTGAAGATGGGGAGGAGAGGTTGTAAAAATAGGTTGTCGAGGCCTTGAATGCTCTGCCGGCAGGTCTGGACCTCATCACCTTCCTCTCTAAAGGTCTAGGTCCTTAAGCCTAGGCCCTGTCACTAGGAGGTGATAATGTGGTCAGGGCTTTAGTTTGGGAAGACCATTAGGCACATTTAAAATGGAGGAAGACCCATTAAGATCAAGGATATGTCTGTTCCACAGAAGCACCTCAGTTACACCCATGTAACAATTTAAAACACAAGTTAGAACAAAAGCTGCCAGAACTGGGCCACACCTATAATCTTAGCACTCTGGGAAGGTGAGGCAGGAGGATTACTTGAGGCCAGGGGTTCCAAACCAGCCTGGACAACATAGCACAACCCCTACCTCCATATAAAATAGAAAAATCAGGCCAGGCACAATAGCTCACACCTGTAATCCTAGAACTCTGGGAGGCTGAGGTATGTGGACTGCTTGAGCTCAGGAGCTCAAGACCAGCTGAGCAAAAGTTAGACCCCCTCTCTACTAAAAATATAAAAACTGAGGCAATAGAATCGCTTGAGCCCAAGAGTTTGAGGTTGCTGTGAGCCATGATGACGCCATGGGTCTTTATCCAGGGTGACAGAGTGAGCCTATCTCAAAAAGAAAAATCAACTGAGTGTGGTGGTGCACACCTGTAGCCCCAACTACTTGGGAACCTGAGGCAGGAGAATTACTTGAGCCCAGGCTTTGAAGGTTGCAGGGAGCTATGAGGATGCCACTGTATTCCAGCCTAGGTGACAGAACAAGACCTTGTCAAAAAAAAAAAAATTTGCTAGGACTGAAGGGAGACTGGACGAATCCACAGATACAGTTGATAGACAACATTCCTCTCTCAAAAACTGATAGAACAAGTAGGCAAAAGAATCAGTTCAGAAAACCTAAATGTTGTCAGCCAACATGATGACCTCATTGACACTGAGGGACCCTCTGCCTGACAATGGAAGATCCATGTTCTAGTCATCTGTGCACGGAGCTTTCACCAAGCTAGACCATACTAGTGCTATAAGGTAAGTCTCGAAAAATTTTAAACAACTGAAATTATACAGAGTATGCTTTCTGACTGCATAGAAATAAATTAAAAATCAGTAACAAAAACAAAATCCAGAACACCCATCAATATTTGGAAATTAAGCAACATACCTCCAAATAAGACAAGGGTCAAAGAAGAAATCACAAGGAAAATCAGAAAATACCTTGAAGTGAATGGTAATGAAAATATAAAACCCAACAAATCCAAACAGGATGCAGCTAAGGTGGTGTCAGAGTGAAATCTGCAGCCATAAAGGTTTACATTAAGGAAAAAAAAGGTCACCTTTCAAAGCTAGGAGGCAAAAACTTCCAAAAAACAAAACAAAGTAAAAGTAAAGTAAACCCAAAGTAGAAAGAACAAATTTGTAATATTCAGAGTGGAAATCAAGGAAACCGAAAAGGTAATTCAATGTGACATTTAAAAATCTGATTTTAAATAAAGATCTGGATTTCCGGCTTCTCAGAGGTTCTAGCAACAGTGACTTTTAATTCTAACATGACAGCAATGGGCTGGCACTGAGCAAGGACGGCTTTCAGGCAGGACACGTGTGCCCCAATTCACCAGAACCCCGCTCCCGTTCTGTCCGTAAGGCCCTGCAGGCACTGGAGCTTGTGACTCTGAGACAAGCAGCAGTAAGACTAAGAAGTGGTGGGAAAGAGGGGAAAGGAGAGAGACAGGATGATTTGAAGTCCACTGCAACAACAGAACTCAGTAGTTTGATGAGGGGAGGGAAGAAGAGGGCAGAGGAAAAAGTGGCTCTGGCTTCTGTTTCTGGTAACTGAAACCAGGGTGCAGCAGCTCTGGAACATGACCTGTGGCATGGGAGCCTTTGGAGAGGGGAGACAGTGAGTTCTATTTTGGACAAGTTGAGTTTGGGGTATCTCAAGGACACCCAGAGATGGAGATTTTGAATGGACAGTTCAAAATATGGATCCAGAGAGGAGAATGGCATAAGAACATAGTGCTGACCACCACGAGGATGCAGGCAGTAGGTGAAGCCCAAGGGGACATCTGGAAACAGTTCTCACCTTTCCGTGGGTCACACAGTCTTCTGGAGAAAAGAGAAATGATTAATAACTGCAACTGGGAACAGAGTTTCAGCTCAACTAGAGCTTCTGAGGGCCATTCCTGGGCCTCAGGTGCCGTACTTCCCAGGCAGATGGAAGAGGGGCCAACCTTAGAAATACCAGCAGGCAAAGCAGCTTCTCAAATTCACCCACTGTGAAGAATCACCTGGGGAACTTACTGAAAACACAGGTTCCTGGCCCTCTTTCTGATCTACTCATTCAGAACCTCCTGGGAGAACCCTCGAGATCTTGACAAGCTTCCCAAGAAAAGTCTGAGAGCTTTGTTCTGAGGAACATGAGGGGGAAGGGAAGCAAAGAGCATAGGAGAATCAGAGAGGGTAGCACAGAAGGAACATTCCCGAGAGGAGAGGAATAAGCAAGGTCAGATGCTTGGAGCTCAGACAGGAAAGGAAGCCAGGAGATTTGGCAATGAGGTCATCATGGTGACCTTAAGTGGCACTGTTTTGGTAGAGAAATGAGCCAGACTGCCAAGGATACAGGGGGGATGGGCAGGGCGTAGCTGGAGGATGAGGACAAGCTTATGAAGAAGTCTCTTTTCCACAGGAGGAGACTCACTCAAGACTGTTGGGAAGGAGATTAATCTAGGGAGAGGCACAGTGAGAGCAGGGTGGGAAGGTGACCAGGTGCCATCATGAGAGTCCCTCATTTCAGTTTTATCATGTGGCATACCACACACCACTGGAAGCCTGTCGTCTCTACTCCCCAAGTCCTCACTAGCAGCCTTGGGGCAGTCACGGAGCACTATTTTACAGAGGGTGAGACAGAAGCAGAGATTAACAACCACCCTGGAGGGCCCTCAAACACACACCCCAAGCTCAAACTAAAACCAAGCTCAGACTCACCCCTTCCCTCCAAAGGGGCTAGAGCTCAGCATGAAACCCTGATTCTTTTGCCTTGGAGCGTCCCCTATGCCCATCCCCTCTCACCCCTGCCCTGTCTCAGGCCCATGCCTGCAGTCACTTCCTACTTTCCAAGCCACACCATCCAGCCTCCATGCACAAATCATTCCAGAATAAAA